CGTATGGCGTAGTCGATCATTTGACTCGCACACAATCAAGCACTGTAGTTGTTTAACTGATCAATCGCATCTCGTGGTAGCAAACCATACGAACGACTTCGCCAAGCAATGCCACATCAGTTAAACGGTACAATAGAATGTTACACCATGTCGCATAGCTTAGTTGAAGATCTCATATTGCCTCGCTAAGCAAACTTAAACAGTATAGCTGGACAGTGCCAGCCTATGTAGAAGACATCGCTACACAACTTAGCTACTAGCAACCAGTGTTCAATCCTTTGGTTGAACCATGCCCTATCCTTATGTTGCGTGATGCCGAATCGTTCATGTCAACCCTGAAATCAATTTCGCTCAGAATTGCTAAATCATGTTCAACTGTTTCAAATCGTGTTGTTGGGCGTTGCTGAATGCGTTCGTTGATTTGAACACAGGTAGATCATCGTTTAAACACCACCAGATCATGTCGTCCAATGAGTGCTGACCATGTGTTCGAAAATTGTTAGGCCATTTAGTTAAGCAGTGCTATTTGGGAAAACCGACGAATTCTAGATCGACTACTTGAGCAAACCCAGATCAATCAATTGTGCATCGCCAGATCATTGAGATGAACAACACCAGAAGAATGTATTGAGTAGTACGAAATGGTGTGATTCATCGGGGCTAGGGCATATAGTGAATTCGTGTCAGGGCGTTTCCTTGACCAATCACAAACAATGTATGCGCACCGCGCCACATCATTTAGTTGACACCTTCGCCATGAAATTCCAGGTTATGAAAATCAATACTGCCCATCTGCTTGGTTGAATACGACCGAAAAATTCAACGGTGGTCGATCATTACATGCACAATGTCATTACATCTAACAAAACATTGCCGGATCATTTGGTTCAACAGTGCTCGGCCATGTCTTTCAACCTTTCAATACGACCTATCTTGAGAATGTCAGGAAGTCCAACACACACTATCAGTTTAGTTAGACCAGGTCAGACCAGTTCGTCCAACAACGCAAGACGACTACAAAAACGTTCCCAGAGCACATAGCACAATCACGCCGAGTCATTTAGGTAAGCAATGCCTGGTACTTCATTAAACCACATCAGGCTAATTACAAAACGTGATGGTCAACCAACAACCAAGTATGTGATAACACTGCGTCCGATTAGCTAGTTAGACAACGTCAGCTATCTGAGCCCGACAATGCGAAGCCATTTAAGCGAACACTTGTTTGTTCTGATATTGGCTACGCGAGAAGAACTGTTCACTTACACTGGGCCACATGGTCCTTCGAATAATTCCAAATCATTGAAACAAACGTTGCCACAACCTTCCGTGAATCAGTACCACGTTACCTTAAAATCAGTGACAGACACTTCAGTTAACGAATGCCACATGTATTTGGAACAACGCCGACCATTGGGATAATGCATGCCCGCTGGCCTGTGTAGGAAAGCAAGGAAGCAAGGTCTCATCGCTGTGTTGGCCGATGTCAGATCGTTTCGTTTAACAAAACCCAACAAAAAAAACTAAACAATGCAACCCTTCAGTTTGCCAACATGCAGCTTCCATCCTTGGAAACGAAATCCGCGCCATCAAATGCAATATGGATTAGATACTGATGTCGTGGGAACTTGGAATTGGCACATTGCGTGGCATATTGGTTGTTGCCCCCCTTTTTGGAGATGGGGTGCGGTTCCGATTTCACATGTGTTTTTAATGTCCTGCCCTTGGTGTGATGCTGGCGCCTAGATGTCCGGTGGTTCCGTGTCATCGGTTGTTCCCAGATTCCATGTTGTCGATGATATCATTTCCGTTTCCTCTGTTGTTTGTTCATCCTCTGTACTGTTGACATGACCTTGCTGGTGACACGTTCTCTGCTCTTCCCGCGTTATGTACTGCTCCCGTTGCATATATTGCTCCGTCTTTCGATCTTCCCGTGGCCCTGCTGTTCCCGTTTTTTTCCCCCTGTCATCCGCATGTCCGATGCTACTTGCCGTCTCCGTTTCTTCAACTGTTCCGTCGTTTCATATTGCTCGGTCGTCCTGTGCTCCTCCAGCAACTATCTTGTGTCCTTGCTGTTATCGGTCCCGTGTCTGCAGATGTCCCTTCTTACATGTGCTGCATCCGTTTCTTGTACGGGTCGTTCATGCGATGTTGTTGTATCGTCCCCTGCTTTCCCCGTGGCCCTTCTCTCCCGTGTTTCCTCCAGTGCTCTCGCTCCCTTGCTCTCTTCCCGTGTGCTCCGCTGTTCCCGCTCCTGTTGTTGCCCTTTCGTCCGTTCATCCTCCCTTGACCTTCTGTTTCCGTGTCTACATTTTTCGCTGACCCGTATCACTTGCTATTCCAATGCTCTCTCGTGTTATCGTTTCTTGTGACATGTGTTCGTCATATACTGTTCCCGTGCCCTGTTACGTTTGTGAATCTGCTGGTTTCGTTCCCGTGTCCTCCGCGGATCCCGTGTTCTCCTCCTTCTGTGGCCTTGCTGTCCTTGTGTCTCTGTTGATTACATATGTTGTCCTCTCTCGTTCCCGTGTTCAATGTTGTTCCCGTTTTCCCTGCTTCCCATTCGAGCGACGATCAAAAAGGTATATTACGCGAGATGCCACGGCGGCCTTACGCTGCAGCTTGCGCGGGCCGCCACCGCGGCACACTACCTTGGACACGAGGGCGCTGTCGCGCAACCTTACGCGGGCAGTTTACGCGCCAATTTTCTCGACGTCCACGTCAAGGCTGCTGGTCTACTGAACAGCGTGACAGGTGCGGCGTCAGTGTTGGGACAATGTGGAGCACAACATCTCTGAGAGATTTCAGCGTCGACGACTTTGCATTCGCTATCGAACCTGTGGCTAGAGCAAGCCTAGAACTCAATTTGCGCAGCGTGCTGCAAGCGCTCAAACGGCTCCAGGCGGTCTGAGCGGAGACTCGAACTTACACTAATCACGGGGTATCAAGATCAAAAATTCAGTTCCCATTTACGCGCCGACGTCGGCGAAGACGACCCCGTGTGCGTTGCGTTGCTGATGTGGTGTTGATCCCGTGGCCTTGTTGATGCCATGTTTCTGCTTCATTGTACAACCGTTTCTTTGTCCACGGCTCGGGCGGCCGCGGCCGCCCGAGACGCAGAACTTGCGAGATGCATTCTGGTTTTCTCGATTGCAGCGGGGCGCTGCTCTTTCCGGCAAGGGCGCGGAACCCGACGGCTGAAGCGGTGCAAGGCTCTTGGGTGCGCGTGCGGCAGGGTGGGTTAAATTGAAAAGTCCAGGGTTCGCTAGGGACAAGTCTCCTTTCAAAACGGCCGAAACCCTTCGACAAAAACCTTCCGGAAGGGCTCCGGGAGGCTCTTCGCAGGATTTCGGGAGGGTTTTGCAAGGGTTTTCGTCGTCGTGCGGGGGGGGAACCAATGCCTAGCGAACCTTGAGCCCTCCAAAGTTACATACAATTTTTCGCCGCCGCTCGGCAGAGGCAATGCGCACGCGCGCGCTCCAGCAGTCCCGGGGCACGGACTATACGAACTGTCCAGCGGCACGAGAGGGAGAGCGGAGCGGAGCGGAGCGGAGCGGCGCCGATGTCGCCCAGAGGGCGCCCCGTGCAGGGAGCGGCGGGCGCGCCGGGGCGCCTCAGTTCTGGACTCGGAAGTCGGCCTGCGGCAGGAGGCAGATGGCAGAGGGCGGCCGCGGCAGAAGGACGAAGGCGGCAGAGCCTCTGCCGCCTTCCGAAGGCGGCAGAGGAGCCACCACGACCCCCGAAATAGCCGCCGAATTCCAAAAGAGTTGCGCGGTATTGTTTGATGTTTTTTCGAAAGTATGCAACGCTGGGCGCGCAGGCCCGCCTGCAACGCCCCCCAGCGAGCATCCATTTTGAACCAAACATCGCCGCGGCCGTCGTAATCACCACCACCAAGACAACAAGAGAACAAGTGTTACATTCATCATCTCGCTGAGGGCACGTCAGCCTGCGCCGCCGCACATCGACTCTTTGCCACAGCCAAGCGCTGCGTGCTCCCAGCAGCATTCGTCGACAGCTGTCAAAAGCAAAACCGCCGACATGGTCCTTGAAAGGGCCGCCAGGAGGGCCGCCGAAGGGGCCGCAGAGATCGTCGCCGAAATCGCCGCCGAAATCGCCGCCGAAATTGCCGCCGAAATTGCCGCCGAACTTGCCGCCGAAAATTGCCGCCGAAATCGCCGCCGAAATCGCCGCCGAAATTTTTGGGAGCTCCGCCAAAATCGCCGCCGAAATCAGCCGCCAAAATCGCCGCCGAAATTCAGCCGCCGAAATTGTCATTGCCCTGTCCCAAGCGAAATCACTATATTTATCAAGCTCGATGACGCCGCGGACACAGGCATCGAGTCACATCCAAGGTCAATTTCGGCCTCTCTTCGGCGGCACAGTCCGGAATTTCGGCGCAAATTTCGGCGGCGGGTTTGGCAGCAATCTCGGCGGCGATTTCGGCGGCAATTTCGGCGGCAATTTCGGCGGCAATTTCGGCGGCCCTGTCGACGGCTCTTTCGGCAGCCCTTTCGGCGGCAATTTCGGCGGCCCTTTCGACGGCTCTTTCGGCGGCCCTTTCGGCGGCGTTGCTGTTGCCAACTGTCGACCATGGCTGCTGGGAGCTCTGGGCACTCGGAGGCCCCGGCGGGCCCTGAGAGGGCCCTCGAAGGACCTCGCTAGAAAGCATCTGCGAAGTAGCTCAAGCCACGCGTGATTGGCACGCAACGTGCAGAGCGAATTCCCCCTCGCAACGCGCAGGGCGAATTCCTCGCGCTATGCATCAGCACGCTCTACGATGCGCATGGAAACCACCGCGCGTCTGGGCGCGCCTGCACACCGAAACCATCAAGAAAAGCTCAATTTCGTTTGGAATGAATTTCGGCGCGCGCTCCTTTTCGTTTCCAAAGAAAGTGCCACTACGACAGAGGCGGGAGGCACGCACCGCGCGAGGAGCGTCGGCAGGAGAGGCCGGGGCGGCCGGCCGGAGCTGGTTCCCACGAGCGAAGGAAGTCTTTTTCTTCACAGCCCGGGCTCGCAGGAGGGCACGGGAGGCGTGCAGCGTTCGTCGCCAGAGGGTCTGGGCGCGGTGCTGCGGCACTCCAGGTCTGCACGGGGGAGGCGGCTGGCGCGGTACCTGCTGTGGCGCCAGAGGGGTGCGCAGGCGGCGGCCCCTGAGCCGCCACACGCTCTGGGGCCGCAGGGCACGGTAAGCGTGCTGCCTCGTCGCAAGCGGGGGCGCGCAGGAGGTGGTTCTGAGCATGGTCTCTGTGCGGCTCCAGTGCGCAGGGCACGGCAGGCACTGCACCCCTCGACGCCAGAGGAGTGCGCAGGTGGCTGTCCGTGAGCGCGGCTTTGGTGCATGCCAGGCTTGCGCGCCCAGGCAGGCGCGTCATGATCTCGAGAATCAGCAGAGGGTGCGCAAAAGGGGTGTTGCTTGGATTCGCTGTAGCAAGGCAACGATGGCATTCGCAAGCGAGCAAGATGTAAATGTGCCATTCCCGCCGGAAGGGGCGGGCAAGCGTCGACGAAGGTCGACGGAAGCCAGCATGCAAATTCCTGCGGAACTCTCCCTGTTTTTTTTTGACTTGTGCTGGTGCTCCTGTCAGGCCATCAGCCTGAAAACTAGTCTCTGGTCGACTGCAGCTGCAGCAGGGAGAAGCTAGGGAAGGACGGAGGCAGAAGAGGCAGAGGTAGGAGCTTATGCGCATGACCTGCGACGCAGCCACTTGGAAAAACGCTTGCAGAATGAGGACCCTCGTGCCCCAGACTGTGCCGCGAAGTGAGAGCGATCCCAATCCATGCGTCAAGGAATCGATAAGCAGCAATTCTGCAAGAAAGACATGAATATCTTCCTCCTGTAAGCATGTTTGGGAATCGACGTGTCTGCAGATCCAAACAAAAACTGCGAAGGTAGCGACCTGGATATCTGGCAACATGCGCCAGCACGATCATCCACATGAGACGGCTTCGCATTTGTCGCGAATCGCCGTGTCTAGGGAAATCACTCATTCAATTGCACCGCTGTGCGACGGCAACATGTTTTGACAAACTGGGAAGTGCCTACAGCCTACAACAATGTCAAAAACTGAAACTTCAAAATTTTGGCTGGTGAACGAGCCGTGACTGCTTGCATCACGCAGGGTTGCGAAACGTTTCCTCCTCCTGAGCGATGCTGCAACCGCGTCGCTACGCCGCCGCCTCGCGTTCCTGCCAATAGCTGTCCATCGTCGGCACCCGGATGTTGTTCAGGTGGCTGGCGTCGCCGCAGAGCTTCCTCTTGTCGATCGTGCCGCCCTCGCGGAAGCAGAACTTGGGGTCCACCTTAGCGGAGTACATTTTGTTAGACTTCTCGGGCTGGATTTCCAACCCGCCCAGGCTCGCGAGATCCGAATCGTCCAAATCGAGGTGGGCCAATTTGAGCAACACGTCCAAGCTCACCAACATGCACTGCCCTGTCTGATCCATGACGTACGGGCACATGTGGCGGCCATACGAGCTTTCGTCACTGAGGACGGCAAGCTTGTAGTAGCCAAGTGGGATGCGCAGCGGGAACATCTTCTTTTTCCGCTGATAATGGATACTGAGCTTGTTGGGATTGTCAGACGGTTTGTCCATCTTCGTCCGGCCTGTGTGACACGTGACTTTCTCCTCACGCGCCTTGCCGCCAGCTTTCGGCAGTGGCGTCGAACGAAAACCATCGTCCTCCTCGTCTAAGTCGCACCAAGGCTGGCCATTAAGGTTCACGTCGCCGCCGCTCCACAACAATTCCTCCCACAACTCCGCCCCACGCTCGTTCGTGAAGAATGCATCTGGCAACTCGTACAGGGGACCGGTGATCAGCTCGAAGCTAGTCGGCTCCTCAACGTCATCATCGTCGGCGTCTTCGGATTTCGACCGCATCTCCATCTCCAAGAACTTCCACGTCTGCTGGTTGAGGTAGCCGTTCTGCGGGGAGAGGTTGGTTGGCGTGTTCGTCATGCTGGCCGCCTCCTCGTCGGAGTTGAAGCTGGCGACCGGCGCCTGGTGACCACGGTCCAGGCCGAAGAGACCGCAGCCCTGGTAGTCTACAACGGTCGCGTACTCGTTGGGCTTCTTGCCCAAGTCGGACATGAGATTAACCAACTCTTCGTCGTTCGACCAACCACCACCGCGCCCGCCACCTTTCACGAAGCGGCCGGCAAATACCTTGTAATACACGACGTCAGACACCCCGGTGCACTCGTTGTATGCCGCCGAATAGACCTCGACGTCGCTGTCCGTGCCGTGTGCGAGGACGTGGATCGGGCACTGGCGCTCCCAAAAGGCCGCCCTCTGGAAATCCTGCAGGATCCTGAGGCCAGAGAACACCCCGACCGAGTCCATCGCCACGCCCGACCAGGACCTCTTCCTGGCCACGAGGAACTCCTGGCCCCCCGCGGGCTCGGCGGGGGGCCCGCTGGCCCCGCCGCGAGCGGCGCACGCCAGGAGGGCGGCGAGGGCGGCGAGGGCGAGGAGCGCAGGCGCGACGCAGGCCGGGAGGCGGCGCGTGGGCCGCGAGCACGCGGGCGCGGCCGGCGGCGGGCTCTGCGGCATGGTCGGCGCGAGGGGGCCGTCAAAAAGTCTGAGACGCAGCGGGCGCGCGCGGGCCCCCGCTCTCGCGAGCCAAAAGGGGCTTGAGCCAAAATGGCTACGGATGCGGAACTCTCCCTGTTTTGATATTTGTTCATGTTTTGCAGCTCCACGATTCCATTCAGGGCCGCATCGACGCCGCGATGCAGTAGGCACGTCGTTTCAGCTTTCCGCAGATGCTCGATTGACGCCTGTGCGCCCACATTGTACACAAAGGACGACAGAGAGAGAAGCACACAATAGATTGCTTTCAATGCCACACGTGCCAGTAATGCGCGAGGCGAAAGGGCGCGGAAGCACAGCGGAAGGCGGCGGTAGCGTTTACAGCTGGGTCTTTGACGTCGCGTAAGGTTGGCGGAAGGTTGGCGGAAGCTGGCGGACATGCAAGTCCGAACGTAGCTGCGCGAGGTCGGCGGAAGGCCACGGAAGTAAAAGACGATATGAAAAAGAAATGTTGATACAGAGCTTCAAGATTCGAATCTGGGAAAAATGTCGCGCGCAAAGAATCCGACTTTGGCTCAGAGGCCACAGATTAGGTGGCGAACTGCTGCGGAAAGCACAGGGACAAAGAACACATACAACAAATGAGGCGCCAACAGCTGCGCAGGATACCCGTGCGAGCAGCCAAAAGGGGGGAGGGGGGGAAGCAACGGCAACCAAAATCCAACATTTCATCCTCCTCCTTCTCTTCCTCTTTTTTTACCTTAAGCGGACTTTAAGTACTATGCTTGTAGCGTTCGCTTCTCTGCAGCAGCAAATGCAAACTAAGCGGAGCAGGAGGTGCATAGAGGCACTGAAAAGTGGAGAAGCCCGAGAGAAAATTGAATACAATCCTCCTCTTCATCCTCCTCCTCCTCCCCTCATTGTTCTGCTTCTCCTCAGATGCTGCCCGTCCTCCCCCTTCCATTGGTGGGGCTACTCCCCTTCAGCCTCCTCTCCCTCCTTCTCCTCCTCTTCCTGCTTCTCCTCCTCATCATTATCATCATCATCCTCATTCTCGTCCTCCTCCTCCTCCTCATCATCATCATCATCACCATCACCATCACCATCACCATCATCATAATCATAATCAGCATCATCATCATCATCATCATCATCATCATCATCATCATCATCATCATCATCGTCATCATCATCATCATCATCATCGTCATCCTCATTCTCATCCTCTTCCTCCTCCTCCTCCTCCTTCTCCTCATCCTCCTCCTCCTCCTCCTCCTCCTCTTCCTCCTCCTCCATCTCATTTCCGCATAATTAACTCTTCCCCGTCGCACCACCAGACGTGTCGGTATGGCGGGCCAGGCGTTTCTCCCGAGACCTCCTCGACATTTATGATCCTGAAGCTTGACATGTGCAACAGCTTCGCGGATGGTGGGCGGGCCCAGTTTTCAAAATGCGGCTCGCGCCTTAGCTCCGAGCACATTCGTCTTAAAGGTTTGCAGCAGTTTCACGGATGGAATGCGGGTGATTTTCAAGATGTGGCTCTCGCATTACCGCCGACCGAATTCATCTTCAAAGTTTGCAGTCGCTTCCAGGATTCGCGTGGTCGGTCCCGGGAGGTGCGATGAGGCACGATTCAGAATGGTAAGGACGCAGCAGTAAAGATGGTTCGTGCTGTTGAAGTCCAAGAAATGAAATTATCAGGACGCAACAAGCCCGTTGATCCGCGGCATGGAAATACCAAGAAGTGAGTGTGTTGGCACGATTGGGAACTCTCGAACGGTTGCATTTCAATAGACAACTTCCCGGAGTGGATATATGCTTAGGGATCTGCGAAATGGGAGCTTGGACCTTGGAGAGAGGGTCTTTGCAACATCGTTGATGCGTCTTGGGTCAACACTGGACCTCCTCCTCTTCCTCCTCCTCCTCGTGAGAAGCCGAAAGGTCCGAACGAAGCACACCCTCTGAACCTCGCCGAGACGACCGCGAAGAAGAAGAAGAGGAAGAGGAAGAAGAAGAAGAAGAGGAAGAAGAAGAAGAAGAAGAACAAGAACAAGAAGACGAAGAAGAAGAGGATGATGAAGAAGAAAAAGAAGGTGCCAAGATCCCCCAAGCCCAGCAGCACTCGCCTCCCCCCTCGCCCTCGCCCTCCTCCCGACGGCCCTGCCCACCGGCACTTTCGCCGCGGCCAGCGCGCACAGCGAGTCCAGGCCCGAGAGGCCGCCGACCACCAGCCAGAACTCGTCCACTGGACCTCCAGGCCTCAGGGGGTGAGGGGGGAGGAGGGAGGAGAAAGGAGGAAGGAGGGAGGATGAAGGAGGAAGGAGGGACGAGGAGGATTTTTTCCAACATCAACAACCACTGACACCAGCAAGACTGGACTGTAATGATTTAAAACAAATTTTAAATCAGCCTCACAGGATGAGGTCTTGAATACCTTCAGGGTCTACCCTCAGTGTGGAACTGTAACTGGGGTAGAGCCCTTTTAGCACGCGGCGCCACAGACATCTCTTCTGAGTTGTCATCTTCTGGTCACACCTACCGCTGAGGTTGGACTTCTTGAGAGACCCGTGACCAACATGGCAAGCACACCGCGTGCAGATATGCAAAACAGAGCCGTCGTCACACGGCAGGCCGACAACAAAGTGACCATTCCGTTCCATCTCAGCGAAATCCCAATCACCGCACACTCCCGAACAACCCCACGAGGGTGGGCGGAGCTGAGACCGAGAGGCCTTGAGAC